ATAATAATAATAATAAGAAATAGTACAGATACAATAGGCTCTTGCAGCCTTCGCTGCTCGGGCCTAATAAGAAACTTTCGAAATACAATAGGCCTTCGCAGCGCTTTGCTGCTCGGGCCTAATAATAAGAAACTTTCGAAATACAATAGGCCTTCGCAGCGCTTTGCTGCTCGGGCCTAATAATAATAAGAAACTTTCGAAATACAATAGGCTCTTGCAGCCTTCGCTGCTCGGGCCTAATAATAAGAAACTTTCGAAATACAATAGGCTCTTGCAGCCTTCGCTGCTCGGGCCTAATAATAAGAAACTTTCGAAATACAATAGGCTCTTGCAGCCTTCGCTGCTCGGGCCTAATTACGAGATACCGATATAATTGTGAGTTTTTCTCTCATAATTATGAGATCCTTTCTCATAATTATGAGAGAAAAACTCAGAATTATGAGGAAAAAATCTCGTTATTATGAGATAATATGTTATATTTAGGAGTTCAGGAAGGACATTCATTGCCGAGCTTCGCTACATGTTTTGCTCTGTTACTGCAGGAGCAATTAAACCAGCACTGGATCAATGGCATAAATATCGGTAAGCAGAGAGCTTAGGGCCCAAGACTTCTTAGGGGCCCCATAACTGACACCTGGTGGGCCCCCTACGCAATTGTAGAGTAAGACGTCTCTGTGCAAATGTAATGGTGCGAAAAATTCCTCTTAAACCCACCAGATACTGAAGTGAAATAAGGAAAACTTGCCAGATTTCAGCATGATGGTGAGCCGTTTAAACATGACACCAATAGCCAAGCAGACAGTGGTGCTTTTAATTACTAGGTTAATAACTTTGTATAGTTCATTAGACGATTGGTAAAAAATACACTCATATGATATGTTTCAAACCGCAATAAAGATCTTAAAAGAACAATGTATTTGAGTTTTTATTTTTTACAATACGGCGTGGAATTATATGTAACCCAGAGCGTAGATTAAAACAATAACCGTTACGTACAATGTGTTAGCGACGATGGATACCAAAAAGAGGTACTTAAGTGGATTCCAGAAAAGAAAAAGGCAAGAAGAGCTGCTGGAAGAACGGAAAAAACTTCCAAAAATAAACACGTTCTTTCAAAGAACCGAAGAGGGAGAGGAGGACGTTGCTGCTACAGTGAGTGAAGATTGCGACCAGGAGATGAATGGTGAGAGCGTGGGTGAGGAGGGGGGCTGTGAAGCTGAATGTAGCCCCATGGCTTGTTGTGCTAATATACTAAAGTATATCCATGTCTAGTGAAGGTGAAGAATGAAGAAGTGTGTGGTAGTGCGCTCTTACCACTGGTTCCATTCAAGGTGCGCAGTCACTATTTTTCCCATGTGTGATGTGTGATCATATACTACTGGGATTTGCATAATTGTTTCTTCTTGGCTGATTTATGGAACCTTTATCAGTGTTGTACTTCATATGGGGCCCTGCCAGATAATGTTGCTTAGGGGCCTATTGTTGTGTCATTACTCCATTGCACGGGATGCTTTATGGTTATAAATGAATGCATAGGAAATGCATTTCAGCTGGCTTGGTGGTTTCCCAAAGAACTATCCACTGGTACCTTCCCAAAATCCTAGATCCTCAATGAGTTCAGCTGGGGCTTCAGAATCGTTTAAAACGACCAAGTCCCAACTTTATGTGGCACCTTGATTCATATGAAAAACTAAAACTATACGGAATCTGTATTATTGGAGCTGTTGACGGATTTTTGCATATGGTCATAAGGCTGCATGCTTATTCCACAAGTAGTAATCCCTGGTTTATAGCTGGGTACCTTGTTGATGAAGTGAAAAACAGGAGCAGAACTCCAATGTGCATCACTTCAGACCTGGGAACAAACAAGATCTCTTTTCCAGTAATTATGAGAAAAGATCTAATAATTATGTGTTAAAATCTCATAATTACAAGATTGTTATCTCGTAATTATGAGATCTTTTCTCATAATTAAAAGATAAGATCTCCTAATTACGAGATACCGATCTCGTAATTATGAGATCTTATCTCATAATTAGACAGATCTTTATGAGATCTTATCTCGTAATCTTATCTCGTAATCAGACAGCTTATCTCATAATTACGAGATACTGATCTCGTAATTATGAGCTAAGCTGTCTGATTTTCTGTTCTTTGGTGATTGCAATACGCTTCCGTACCAATCAGTGTCACATATACGTTTCTAAGCTCCCTGCAATAGAGAGAGGGGGAGCTTATAAAAAGTCACTGTGATGTTTGACGTAATTATAACAGATGATTCATTTAACAACAGATAAAATTAATATCAATGATTTGATTGGGAAAAAAAACATAAATATTATTCCTTGATGACATCACAATACCCAAAAAAGTTTGAAGGGGTGTGAATACTTTTGCTTTATTCAATGTGTCCATAGTTCAAGGATTTGAAAAAGAAGCTGTGAAGCTAAAGGATAGAAAAGTTCACTGGGCCGCACCTGTGAATCTTTGTGTTTTCAGAGTTTGCTCCAGCAGCGAGACAGAGAGCGAAGCCGGAGATCTTTTAGAGCAACAGTTTGAGGAGCTGAACAACAACAACCTCCCAACGGGCTACCTCCGCATGGTGTCCAGAAATAACCGCTTCAACAGGTCTGAGTTCAGCTTTTTAAACACATCGATGAACTCTAATCATTAACATCCAGAGACGTCCTCTAAAAAAACACATCCTGCCCTTTGGGTTATTAAGGTTTAATACTGACGCAGTAACTCCTCCTTCGTTTCTCCATTAATAAACTGGTGTAATAAACATTGGTTTGCCGGCCGCCTGCTCTTTTACCGCTGTATGTATGAGTCATACAGTCCGATCGGTTAAAAGTTTCCTATGGGGTTCGATAACTGTCAATAAAAATAAATGCATGTCTCTACATTTGTGAATGTCAGTCAATAAGATTGTCTAAATTGAATATTTCTATTTGTTCTAAACCTTTCTGACAGCAGATGTTTCATCTGGTAGATGGTAAGAAGACAACTTACAAACTTGCCACCAATAAAAGAACACAAGTATAAATCACAACTTACACATTTAATTTATTAGTAGGCTATAATAAATTTACGCACACAAATACAAAATTCATAATTAGTGCAAAACCCCAAACCGACAAATACAAGTCACAGATGTACAAGTACAGTTTTTGAAAATGAATTGTAAGTTTGTAATTTGCACTTTTAAATTTGTGATTTTTATATCTAGTTTTGCAAACTTCTAATTTCTATACTTATATTCTCATAAATGAAACATCTGATGTCACATGTATGTATTAGTTGGCAGCAAGAAACAAAAGCAAATGTTATATTTTAAGTTTATTGACTTGCAGTTACAAATTCAGACATGCATACCTTCTCATGGACAGGTTGAGTGGAGGTTTTGGACGACCCAAATGCAGAGACAGAAGCTTGTAGATTAAGTAATTCAAAAGGGTGGCAACTTAAACAGGAAATACATGAGAATTAAAAACTTATAACCAAAAACAACTAGAATAATACAAAATGGAAATTAAACCAATAAAAACTCAAAAATAAAAGTGAAACAGATCCTAAGCCAAGACCTTAAAGAATGAGCATGTGGTGACAGCAGACATTCGGCTGCATTTTGTTGCTCATTCTGAGCGGCATTCTGCTGAGGCCAGATGGGGATTCAAGAACCAGAAGCAGAAATACCAAAGGAATAAAAAAAAACACTGATCTATGTCTTCTATTTTAGAAAAAGTAACATTCATCACAACAAGTAGCCTCAATCTAATTGTAAAACAACTGTCGCCAAAAATATATTGGTTACAACATAACCAGAAGAACAAAGACCATTTATGATGTGTTTGTGTGGAGCAATGACTCTTGTTTGAATGGTTAGCCAAGGCCTGGACGATAACACTGTTTAAAAACCATTGCATGCGTATTCGATTTAGTACATCATGTGGAAATGAAAACAGTCTGATTTTATTGGAGAGGAAAAGCCATTCTGGCTGCCATTAAAAAGTCAGATGTGAGTTGCATATGAAAAGCAGATTTAAGCGCCATTTGCCTGCAGTTTAATCATAACCTAATGGAATGTTTTCCTGATGTCCGCCTCTAACAGGAGCTGTCGGAGTATGACGAGCCTTTACAGTACTACAGTGTCTCCTGTGAAGGATGGCTTATCCTCCCCGCTGTATCGACCCATTCATGCTGGCAAACCTCCTCTACGAGCCCTTTATGACTTACTCATCGCACCCATGGAAGGGGTATGTGACGCAAAACATTTTTTTTTCTTTATTACTCTCCCTCAGAGAAAAATCCCACAAATTTCACAGGCGAAAATCAGATGCAAAACGCATGTACCACATGTGAAAGTAACACATGGTACATGTAATATACATGTGCATCTTATAAAGAAGCAGACGTATACTATGGATTTGGAATGCTTTATGTTAAAACCACGTTTTCACTTGTGATACACATGTGCTTTACACATGATTCCCATGTGATACACATGGTTTCACATGTGAATCACATGCTTTTGACAGGAAACATTCCAAATCCACATGTATATCTGTGCTTTTTACATATGATTTACATGGTTTACATGTTGTTTACATTTGTCTTTCACAAATGAAATTGATGGAAATATTGTGTATAGGTTGCATGTGGTACATGTAAAAGGCATGTCCCACATGTGAAAGTAACATGGTACATGGTATGCACATGTGCATCTTATGAGGAAGCAGACGTATACCATGGATTTGGAATGGATCATGTTAAAAATCATGTTTTCACTTGTGATACACATGTAATTTACATATGATTCACATGGTTTCACATGTGAATCACATGCTTTTGACACAAAACATTCTAAATCCACAAGTATAAATGTGTTTTAAAGTATGATTTACATGGTTTACAAGTTGTTTACATGTGTCTTTCACATATGAAATTGATGGAAATGTTCTGTATTGGTTGCAAGTGGTATATTCAAAACGCTTTGTACCACATGTGAAAGTAACACATGGTACTGTACATGCAATGCACATGTTCATCTTATGAAGAAGCAGGCGTATACTATAGACTTGGAATGTAGCATGTAAACATCATGCTTTCACTTGTGATACACATGGTTTCACATATGAATTTGACACAAAACATTCCAAATCCACAAGTATATCTGTTTTAACGTATGATTTTCATGGTTTACAAGTTGTCTGCATGTGGTTTTCACATATGAAATTGATGGAAATATTCTGTATAGGTTGCATGTCTATCACATGTCAAATTATGTGACTCATATGCTTTTGACATAAATATTCTAAATTCACATGTATACATGTGCTTTTACATGAGGGTCACATGTTGTACATGAGTTTTCACATGTGAAATTGTCTGTCCCGGTTTTTCGACAAATGTAAAAAGTGGAATAGACAGGGCACAATCCAAAATTATTGACAATTTAAAAAAAATCTTAATATTGTGCACATGTGAGAAATATGCCATCATAAGTTCCACATGTGATCAAAAGTTGAATAGAGCACAGATTACATGAACAAGATGCTTAATCACATGTAAAAATGTGACACACATGCGGAAAATTACAATAACTTCTACAATTTATGGTATTTGATGTGGGAGCCGAGAACCACATGTGAAAGATGAGGATCATATGTGTTTTGCATGGGATATGGAAAGTTTGATTGTAAAAGTACTGTGATTTACATATGTTCACGAGTAATACAAGTGATTTATGTGTTATCACATATAATACACACGTAGCTTGTATTTGATTCACATTTGATTCACGTTTTCACGTTAATCACAGTGATATACATTGTTTCACATGAGATTCCCAGTCAAAGTACATTTTGACTCTCATGCCATTGATAATAAACATTTTAAATTCATGTGTACACATGTGCTTTGCCATGAGATTCACATGTGCTACATGAGCTTAACGTGATTTTCATACATGACATGTTCAGTTTGTTTCAGTTTGACATGCTCTTTCACATGTAACATCTATGGGATTTTTTTCTCTCAGGGTGTAAAAAAAATCATTAATAGAGGATGGTCTAATGATATTCACACGTAAAAACATCTTAATATGTGGTGCACATGTGAGAAATATGCCATCGTAAGTTCCACATATACTCAAAAATTGAATTAAGCATAGATGACATGGACAAAATGGTTGATCACATGGTGAAAATGGGCGTCCTGTTTCATTGTGGTGTTGTAACGCTATTGTTGCTCTCTTGCCTGAATCCCTACAGGGCCTGATGCACAGCAGTGGACCCGTTGGCAGGAACAGACAGCTTGTTGTAGTTCTGGAGGGAGAATTGTACCTGATCCCATTCGCCTTGCTTAAGGGCAGCTCGTCTAATGAGTACCTGTATGAAAGGTTTAATATCATTTCCGTCCCTTCACTGGCCAGCCTGCAAGCTGCGAGCAAGGTAGACAATTCCTCCTCTGATGTCACCTTTTTATCTGACCCTAAACTCATAAGCATGGTTGTTTCCATGTTCTCCCTTCAGGCTCGTCCTCGCTCCAGTGGGGCTTCTCTTTCTCCAGGTGGAGGGTCGGTGGCTGCAGTAGTTGGGGCCCCTCGCCTGCCTCCTAGTGTCATGGACCGCTGGCTGTGGGGGCCCTTACCCTCTGCCCAAGAGGAGGCTCTGTCGCTGGGGGAACAGCTGGGCTGTCGTCCCCTGACCGGAGCGAACGCCACCAAGGAGCGTGTTTTAGCGGCTCTGAATCAGGCAGAGTGTGTTCACTTTGCAACTCATATATCCTGGAAGCTCGCCGCAGTGGTTCTCGCCCCCAGCCAAGAGCACACCTTAGGGGATGTGCCCAGCAGCCGGCGAAAGGAGAACACGCTGATTGGAACGTCGACGTTAGGAGAAGCTGTGGATCAGGAAGGGAAGACAGAGCATTTGTTTCCCAGGACTTACAGCAGCCCAGAGAGGCTCAGAGGAATGGAGGAAAGAAGTGAGGATGGGGAGAGTGTCTGTGGAATGGAGGGGGCGTGCGACAGTGCACCGCTTCACGACTTCCTCCTCACTGCTGCCGATATCCTGGACCTGTGCCTCTCAGTCAAACTGGTGGTTCTGAGGTATAACCTGTTCACACGTTAACAGCTAGTTAGCTCTGATGCCGCCAGTTAATGTCTGATTCTGTGCTGCTATAGGTTGTACCCGGAGTCCAGCTGCCGAGTCACGGCTGATGGATTAGTGGGTCTGACCCATGCCTTCTTGGCTGCAGGCGTTCAGTGTGTGTGCGTCTCTCTGTGGCCGGTGCAGATCGCCGCCTCCAAACTCTTCATGCACACTTTCTACGCTGCCCTCCTGAGTGGAACCAAAGCCAGCGTGGCTCTGACAGAGGCCATGAAGAACCTGCAGAGCAGCAAGCACTTCTCACACCCCTCCAACTGGGCTGGTGAGCAAGAGGAACCCAAAGAACAAAAAACAGCCCCCAAAAATACAAACAATTTCACTCAAGAGCAGTTTTATGGGATGAATTTTGTACCATTATTTTGCAAGCTAAGAAAAATTTCAGAAACTGAAATAGAAAAAAAAATCTAAGAATGGAAAAACTCCTGAAAAACGATTTTAGTTTTTCAAGTTATTTAAGTGTGATGAAAAAAGGGCTTTAAGTTAAACTTTGCTGCATTTCCCATTTTTTTTCTAATTTAATAAAAAAAAATAAAAATTTACAAATTGCATTATTTCAAGTTGAATTTAAAATATCTTTTTTTTTTTACTTCAGACGGCAAATTTTATATTTTCAAATGCAAATTAAATATATAAAATTGTATAAAAAAGCGATTTAAAGTTTTTAATCTAAGTAGGTAATTTAAAACATAAATTTCGAAAACAATAAAAAAAATAAAAAGCAGCTAAATTACTCTCAAAAAATTTTTTTGATTCTAAAATTTCATTTCACTTTTTTCAAATTACGATTAAAAAATGCGTTCCTTGCTTGCGACAACAATGGCACAAAATTAACTCCATATATGATTTATTCACGTACATTTGGGGATGAATTTTATATTTCAAAATAAATTTTGAAAGAACCCAACAAGTGATTTTAACTCAATTTTAACTGCAATAAAAATGAAAAAAACCTAACAATTCATTTAATAAGATTTTAAGTAATGTGTTCAAAATTACTTGAATTACCTCTAATATTTTTCTTTCTGTGGAAAGATCTAAAAAAAAGATAAACTGTTGTTTCCCAACACTCTCAGCTGCTGTGTTAAGAAGAATAAACAAATATTTCAGTCCCTAGACGTTTAAAGTTGATAGAGACAAACATTTAAAGACTTAAAGATGTAATCACAGTAAAAAGTGGTTCAAAAAAGTATTGATTGTGGGGGGCTGAATACTTTTGCACATGGCCCTTTTGTTCTATTAAAAATAAAAGAGCTATAGTATAATTTTCTTTCTACCTCACAGTTGTAAAGCACTCTGTGCTGATCAGAAGATTAGAACGAAATAGATATTAATGTTTGTGGTTATAATGGCACAAAATGTTAGAAGGTTCAAGAGGTTTGAATACGTTTTTCAAGCCCTTATACATCCAGGCAGTGATTTACAATGAGCTGCTGGGAGTTTGTTTGATCTGAGCTGGATTGCAGTTCTGGTATTTGCAGATCTAGTCCTGCACCTGGACTTAACTTCGTCTTTATAAGAATCACATCAATGAGATGAAGAGAGAGGAATCTAACCAAGAAGCTGAGACTGATGTTTCCAGATGTTGCTGCTGCTGAAGCACCAGAGGGGCAGTCGCTGCCAGTTTAATGTATTCTCTGTTTGTCTTCCTTCAGGCTACATGCTGATAGGCAGCGATGTGAAGCTGAACAGTCCCATGTCGCTGGTCGGACAGGCCTTGGCAGAGATCCTGCAGTACCCAGAGAAAGCCAGGGATGCCCTCAGGGTGCTGCTGCACTTGGTGAGCTGTCGTTACACGTCTGAAGCTTTTTTTCCCCCCACTCTGCTTTGATTGAACTTCATTTAAACTGTAGGGAGATGGAAGCAAAACTTTTCCATAAATGTTTTTATAGAAATATGTTTCTTAATTGAAATAAAAAAAAAAGAGTTGTGTATTAAAAAATAAAGATTTAGCCTACTTTGTTGTTGTTTATGGTCAACCTATTTCAACAGAAATGTACGGAAGGGGATTACGGCCACTGAAAAAGAAAAAAAAAAGTTAACTGATTTTTAAATATTATTTCAGTTTAATATGGGAAAAAAGTCAGAATTCTGACTTTTTTCTGAGAATTATAACTTGTTTTCACGACTCATCCACGACCTCCGACACAAAACTCTCCTCCTTGCATGTTTCCTCTGTCCATAGCATTCCTTGTCAGCGTCGTTTCTAAGTCACCAATTTAGTGCTACTTGGTCCCAATGGAATTTGCCATTGGGAACCTACTAGCACTAAGTTGCTAACTGGTTAGCAAGATGCTTCAGACAAACCGGCCAAAACTAAACCTTCTTGCAAACCTGCTGCAAACCTTCCGCCACAACAATCCCACCCTCTTAATAAACAGCCAATCACATTCACTTTATTCACTCGTGTAAAGTTGTGCACCACTCGAGACAATTCAGAACTGCAGAGATTGGAACAGCCGCTTCCCTATGAATTTAAAATAGAGACCCGTATCTTAACGCCTTTCTTTTCAAATGTGCAAAGTTATTTGATGTGTTTTGAATTTATACACCAGTTTTTTTTTTAAGATTACTGCGTTCTGCTGGCATATTATTCATTATTTTTGTTTTATGCATTGTTGTTTTTCAGTTTGTTGGTAAATAAAGCCCTTTGTTTATATTTACAATAACAAAGAAGGACTAATACAGAGCCTGCTGATGAAGGAGCCACCTGTGGCTAAGCCAGTTAGCGCCTCCCAGGGAAGTGAGGATATAATGAGTAAAAGTCAAAAATTCTTTATGAAAAAACACAAAAAACATTTGCTTCTATGAGGGATCAGACAGGAACAGAGCTGAGAAAAATGCCTGAATGTTGGTCTTCACTGAAGAGGAAGGTAAAGCTATCCAGGCTAGACTGTCACACTCTTCAGAAAGTTACAAATGATGTCACCAGTGTGACAGAAATCAGGGAAGTAAACAACGGAGGGTACCAGAGCGTAGTCAGTGTGCTGTATTGTTTCTTTCTTTTGTCCCTCTGAATCCCTCTGACCAGTTTATCAAATGTAAGCAGGGTTGTATCTGCTTGTTAACTTAGGCATGACTGCCACAGTGTGTTGACACCCTTACACTGCGCTCAATGGTATCACAGAAATTAGTGGGTCGACTGGTTCTGGTGTTCCCACTTTATGCTGATCTGAAGCTGAGGCATTTCAAGGCAATTTTAACCACTTGACACAGGTCAACGCATGTAAGGGATAGTTCTACAGTTCTGCCAGCAGATCGTCTCATTGCACCCGTTGCTGGAATTCTTTTCAAGCTCAAAAATGATCTAAGCTATCTAAGGATTGCCAGGACGGACACTTGGTGTAATTTATCATAATGAAATGGTTTCTGATTATTATGTGACTATGCACCCTTAAAGGTACACTATGCAACCGGTGTTGATTTTCCAGCGAGGCTCCCCCCAGAGGGCGAAAGTAAAAGTGCACTGTCGTAAATATGCACAGCTGTTCTCCTGGTTTCTCCGTCAAGCCAGGCGCGGTTGTTTTGAGCTTAGCCGACAGGCGAACGCAACTAATGACTAAGCATCTGACGCGCGTGACGCGCCGCAAACGTGCTGCTGCTCGAGATGGAAAAATTGAATTTTTGCTGCTCGACGCGCCGCGTCAACCAATCAGAGAAGCTGATCTGGGAGCTGGCAGGGAGAGAGACACAGCGCTGATGATCAGAGCGCTCTGATCACTCCTCTTAAACAGTTTATTGAAGCCTAAATTAACTTAAAATGCAGAAATCTGCCGGCAGAATATGTTGGCTTTTATTATCCTGCTGCCTGCAGTTTGGATTATTTAGATGAAAAACACCTACCAGCTGCCGCGGTGAACCGCGAGGAGGCGACCCGGCCAGAGGCTGCTGATGAAGGGATTCCTACTGTCGGCGCACCGCTGGTATGTGGGGGTCTGAGCGGCTCCGACAGAAAAAATATTGTAAGGCAGGATGATAACCTGAATGAACTGACTGCACTGATTACGTTTTCAGGTGTATTTTCTCACTTAAAAAAATATTAAAACTACTTTATTCCCACTGATCACAGCAAATATAGCTGCAAGGCAGAGAAAGGATAGTGAAGCTCCGCCCAACGCGCGTCAGACACACTTTTGCACCGTACAGCCAGAGCAGCAAAGCTGCTTCAGCCGCGCGTCAGAACTAACTGGTACAAGCAGTAAAAATGAAGCAGCAGACGCGATTTTGCTGCTTTTGCTGCGTCCGGTGTGAAAGCAGCACTGCACAAAGATCGCCACTGTGCTAGCAACGAGCATACTTTTAACTGGGGGGTGTAGCAGTTCTCGCCGTAAAGCAAGACCGACTCTCGCGAGACTTCTGAGCCTGTGGGTGCGGGTCGGTGCTCCTGCAATTGCAAGTGCGGTATTTCTCCCACAGACCACCAGGGCGGCCGAGAATACCTTTGTTCAACCTGAAATGAATCATTTAATCATCCAAAACGTTATGGAACACATTAATTAACTGAAAAATGTTGCATAGTGTGCCTTTAAAGTGATGCTTGGGGTTAATTTTCTTTACAAATCACATTTTGTTGATCTAAATTCCTTATTTCAAACACTTGTTGAACAGTTAATAGTAAAGTAACATACAGTAGTAAACTGGATAGGCTTTGTTTAATTGTATGTTTTGTTTTTGTTCTGCTTCACAGCTGTGCAAAGCTGTTTGTTAGTCAGTAAAGAGACAACACGGCTGTGTTTGTTACCTGATTAAATGGAGATTTAATAGTCCCCCAGTAATTTAACACATGCCTCTCCACAGGTGGAAAAGTCCCTGCAGCGCATTCAGAGCGGCCACTGTAACCCGATGTACACATCACAGCAAAGCGTGGAGAACAAGGTCTGTGTTGTGGTCTTTAAATCCCACCCTCCTCTCCCCAGTCTGCTCCTCCTCATGTCTCCTCTCTGCTCCTAAGGTCGGGGGAGTTCCCGGGTGGCAGGCCCTCCTGTCCGCGGTGGGTTTCCGGCTGGAAGTCTCCGGCTGCGCTGCCGGCCTCCCTGCCGCTGTGTTTTTCCCAACGTCTGACCCTGGAGATCATCTGCAGCAGTGCAGCACCACCCTGCAGTCACTGCTCGGTACCGGAGCTGTTTCATTATTCAATTCAAAGTCTCCTCTCCTATCAGTCACACTGCTTAATTAGGAACCCGGGTCACACTTAACACACCAACAGCTCATTTTAAAGCTCATAATGCAGTTAAAAGTGTGTGCCAACCCTGTTTTTAATCCCTCCAGGTCTGAGCCCTCCGGCTCTGCAGGCTCTCTGTAAACTGGTCACAACGTCTGAAGCAGGAGAACAGCTCATTCACAAGGTACCAGAAACATTCAGCTATGGTAGATTCTATAGAGGGACAAAGGGGACACAAAGAAATATAGCTTGAAATAAATAGCTGTAAATGATTAATGGAAGAAATGAATGTAACATTTATTTATTTTATAACCCACTAAAAAATAAATGTACAGTTTAATAATGAAATGTAAAATTAGATAATTAAATTAACCATTTATGTATTTAAGAAATTATTAAATAATTATTAAAATGGGGATGAGTACATAGGAAGCCTCACGTAAACATATCACCAGAATGATTGACAATTAGGAGAACCACTTATTTAGGTGATCCACCCAGAAAAAGAGCATCCTCCTCTATACCTATAAGTAACTCACAATGGATGGAGTAATCAGACATTTTACTCAAGTAAAAGTAAGAAGTACAAGGCTGTAAAACTACTCCTAAAAGTACTTTTTTTTTTTAAGTTACTAAAGTAGATGTACCAGAGTAAATGTATCTAGTTACTACCCACCTCTGTCCTGTTTGCCTTTCCTATCCTGACATGTTCATCTCATATTCTTTCATTTCTAAATGCTGTTAAAACGTGTTGTTTTTAAAAAGGAGCTTTTAAAGTTCCACTTTGGTTCTTCCATTGGTGGTTGTTCCCTGTGGGCCTAGCAGCAGCATCATCTTCACTCATCATTTCCATTAACTGATGTTCATCCATGTATGACTGAATCTGCAGGGCCTCAAAGCCAGGATTTACACACAAAGAAAAACTCTAAAGCTCTGTGTCCTCTTCTTTATTCATGCATCTCAAAGGCAGTTAAAAGCATGGTGGGGATGGTAAGTGTTTCCTCATGAAATAACTGAATTATAGGGTTTCAGAAGGAGCCCAGTCGGCCTCACAGAAACTCAGTGTTTCCCAAATGCGTTAAAACTCCTGATGTGTTTGTTAGAGGATTGCTTTTTGAAGTGTATGTTTTCAAATGTGATGATAGAAATATGTCAGAGGTAGGAAAGGCATTCAGGGAATGAGGTTGGAGGAATCAGTCCATGCTTTTGGTCACATCTTTTTTCCTCTCTGAAGCTTCATCAGGTGCTGGTGCAGCTGCAGTCGGGCGACAAAGACCAAGACTTCCCTCTGGCTCCCGTTCAGGTATCGATAAGCGTCCAGCTCTGGAGGCTCCCGGGTTGCCATGAGTTCCTGGCTGCACTCGGTGAGTCGCCAAATTCATTTTTTGTTCTCTGCCATCTTTAATGTATCTATTTTATTGAGATTTTATCTGACAGACCAACGCAAAGCAGAGTAAAGTCGTTGCAATCAGTTCAGGCTGCTTTACAGGATCGGGGTGAGGTAGTAGCTCACTGGTCCACTGCAGGGAAACAGAGACACACTTGGTCTAAAATGCAAACCTTTCACATTTATATGGAGAACAAGCAACTAGGCAGCTCCCGCTGCAGAAAGGATTATTAGTGACCTGTTTGTGATTTAATGTCAGTATAGATCCGGCTGTTCTGTTATGACCTCAGAGAATAAAACTAAAGTGAATGGAAATCATGGCATTAATCTAAAAAGTAGCAAAAGGCTAAGAATGACAGTGGAATATGGAGTGAATTATGTTACGTTATTGTTGGAGGCAAAGAATATGTTTTGTAAATAGATATCTGAAAAAAGGTGCACCAGAAAGAAAACTTGAAATGGAAAAAAGAAAAGTCTTTTTTTTTTTAGAGTAACTTTGCTTTTTCCTCAGATTTCTTTAATATTTCGTTGTTTGTTTTTTTAAACTGTAGGGAAATCACATTTAAATGTGAAATCATTCTGGTTTAAACATGTATATAAATGTACACTTTATCACACTATATTGTCCCAAAATGTATTTTTTTTTACAGATTTTACATTTTTAACACAATTCAGTTAATATCTATAGCGCCAATTCAGAACATAAGTCATCTCAAGGCACTTTACACCTCAACCAGATCATACAGTCAAATTGATTCAAAGTTTTCTAAGGAAAACAAGCTGATTGCTTCGACTCATTGACTCGAAGCTAATCCCGCAAAATTTCAAAATTTTCGTTTTTCAAAAGTAGATTTTTCAAGAAAATATTTTGTTGGTTTTCAATTTTTTTTTTCAAGCAGACAGTATAACAGATTAGGAGGATCAAATTGCCACATGAACGTTTAGGATCAGCACATGCTCCTCCAGGATCTGAGTGAGGGTGGTTCTCCAAAACAAACAAAAATAGTTTTAATCTAATTTAATTGGCTCCATTTGTGCAGCAAAACATTTCATTTGTGCTGCTTTTGTTTTAAAGTTATTGACTAAATTGTTAAGGTTGAAAAGTTTAAACTTTTGTCAAATGCTTCGAAACAAAAGCAGCACAAACATTCAATGTAAGGTGAAATGTGTTCCATTATTGTTGCAAACACACTTTGTAGATGGAAATTTGAAGGAAAAAAATACAAATAAATAAACATATATATATTCATGTTTTTGGACTGTGGGAGGAAGCCGGAGTACCTGGAGAGAACCCACGCAGCTTCAGGGAGAACATGCAAACTCCATGCAGGAAGAGCTGGGCATCAAACCCGGATCTTCTTGCTGCAAGGCAGCAGTGCTACCCACTGCACCACTGTACAGCCCACTTTGAAAAACATTTTAATAAAAGACATATAAAAAATATAAAAGTTGATATATACCTGAGAGTAACTTTAATGTTTATTTTTCATATTTTATTTCGAATTATTCTTTTTTTTTTCCAAAAAAAATTTTTTTTTTTTTAATTTAGTAGGTTTTCAAGATTTTTAACAGATTTTTAACTTTCTTTTTGTTTTATAATTTAAAGATTTTATACTTTTAAATTTTCACTTTTCTGTTTTTCAGAATGAGTTTCTTGAAAAATTGCATTTCACGGATCTATTATCTCTCCTTCTGGGGGCGGGCTTTCCTCTGGAGTGAGGATGCATCATTTCTATTGGTCAATATGTGCATTGAAGTTTTTTGGTTGTATCATGACTAAACTGAGAGAATATTAAGGAGTGTGAATATTTTTCACAGTGTGATACTGCAGAGGTTTTGTCCTCGGCTTCGTCTTGCGTTCTTTGTGGGAAAGTGTTATTGTTTTTGAATGTCAGGTATAATTAGTTTTCTCTGGTCTCATGTAGCATTGCATGTTTTGCAGGCTTTGATCTGTGTGAGGTCGGTCAGGAGGAAGTCGTGTTAAAGACTGGAAAACAAGCCAGCAGGCGGAACATGCATTTTGCACTTCAGGCTCTTCTTGCCCTGTTCGGTGAGAAAAATCGATATATTTTCCTCTAAATCGAATCATTTTGACCCTGTTTCTCAGCAGGCTTATTGGTTGATCGTCTTTGTTTCCTCATCAAGATTCCACAGAGCTTCCCAAGCGGCTGAGCATGGACAGCTCCTCGTCCCTGGAGTCTCTGTCCTCCTCGCAGTCGGCCTCCCAGCCTCACTCTCTGCCCGTCTCTCTCAGCTGCTTCCCACCTCAGCCCTCCTTCGCACCGCCAGGCTGCTCAGACAACCTCTCCTGTGACGCCATCTCCGTCTACAGCCTCAGCTCCCTCGCCTCCTCTCTCAGCTTCCTTTCCCGCCCTGAGCCGGCGGGAAGCGACATCATCAGCCATCGCTCACATCAACAGGAGCCAGAGAAGCAGGTGGGAGGACCGGGCCCGCACCCCTCTCACCGCCATGCAGGCGGCCTGTCCAGGGGCCGGCTGACCAATCACAGAGGAGCGCTGGCGGGAGTCGATGACGAGGAGTACGAGGGCTTCTCCATTATAAGCAGCGAGCCGCTGGGACGCGCAGGGAGGGAATGCGACACGCTGCCGCTCCCCGCGGGACATCGAACCGGCAGAGGGGGTTCTGGGAGAGGATGCGCGGCGGGCCAGACTCTGACGCTGTCCTCCAAGGGGAGCCTCAGCACGCCGACCTCCCCGCTTAAAGCTCCTCCGCTGATGCTGACGGATCCTACAAACCATAAAATGTACGTTTACAGTTTACACAAATAAGCCATCAGGCTTAAATTTGACTAGGCCACTTCAAAACCTTTATCTTGTTAGTACAGTGTTATGTTTTATGTGTCCCATTAGCCAGGCTGGTTCAGATAGCCTTTGATTTGTTGTTTTTAAGCATTTCTCTGTTCAAACCTCTCTTCCTTTATCTCTTGTAGCTCTCTGCCTAAGCGAACGGTTAAAGGGAAAGCCAGCAGCTCAGAGTCGGACCAGTCCAGCACTGAAACAGACAGCACCGTTAAGTCCCAGGAAGAGAGGATGGGACCCGCCGGACAGCTGGATCCCCACGAACTGGCCAAAAAGATCCTGGAGGAAACCCACAACCACATGCAAGCCGTGGAGACGCTGCAGAAAGCAAACAACCGTGTGAAAGCAGTGAGAGGAGCCGAGGGCCAGGAGGATCCTCTCGCCAGGCAGCCGTCTCTGTCCACGCCCACCACGCCAACGTTTAAGCCCTCCAGAGGAGCGTGTGGCTTCCAGCCGTCAAAGACCAGCGCTTTTAGCAGACCTCCCAGCAGAGCCAGCCTGAAAACCTGCTCCTCTCCTTTCTCCGTCCGCAAGCATCTTTCTACCCTCCCCATCTCTGATCCAAGGCCTCCTCTGACTCCTCCTAAACCACCGTCCCGTTCGTCATCGCTGCAGAAGATCAACACGTCCTCTCCTTCTACTCCTTCCTCGTCTCTCCCTGTGAGGGAGAAGAACTCTCCGCTCCTTTTCGCCTCCTCAGACAAGCATCGCAAACTGAAACACTCAGACTCATCCTACAGCTGCGACGTATCGCCTTTTCGCTGTCCCGCCAACAGCGCCCCATCTCCAGCCTTCTCCTATTCCTCCACAGGCTCCGTCTCCTCCTCCTCCAGCCCGGCGAACGCCCCTGATCCCGGCCAGCCAAAGCAGGACACCAAGGTCCAGGGAATGAACAACCTGAAGGCCTTCTGGACCGGCGTGGGCCAGAAACAGGAGGCGCCGGCTTTACTCAGAGGTGGGAATAAAAAAATGAGCACAGTTCAGAAAGATGTTCTGGGTTTGCTGAATCTCTCGCCCAGACGCGCGTCCGGCAGGAAACATGAGGAAAACCCCAAACTAGAGCCCAAACCTCCTCTGGCTCCATCGGCGAATCTTCCAACAAACACTAAAGGAGGCGTCAAGCTTCCCTCTGGGAACGGATACAAGTTTCTCTCACCTGGACAGTTTTTTCCATCTTCGAAATGTTAAAAGTTTTTAGATTGATGAATCCTCAGGAAGCAGATTCATCTGGGGAGGGGGGGGCTGCCCCCTTTTTCAGTGAAATACAATTTTACCAAATCCCTGCTGAAGATGAGATGTAAAAAGGACAGTTTAATACTGACCTGACTTTTTTTATGTGTGTGTGTGTGGGTGGGTGGGTGTGTGTGTATATGTGTGTGTACAGTGCCTAGCAAAATTATCAATTTCCTTTGAAATTGATAATTTTGTGTGAATACTTTCACATTTCATCATGTTACAGCAGCAAGCAGCATCTAATTGAATTTATAAAACAGACTAAGAGGTTGATCCTGGTGAAATAGAATTACTTTCACACCGTTTTTATTTTTTTCTCAGTTATAAAAGCCTGTAAAACATTAGCTGCTTTTCCATCAACAGTCGAATTGCACAAATTAAAATGATAAAAAAAATACATTTTCTGATTCAAAAGTGTTAATGTTTTTCGGTTACATTGAAATTAATATATTTTTTGCATAACATGATCTACAGCTGGACCTTACTGCCTTGTAGACAAACAAAGAGGCTGACTGGCTGACCCCTCTGCTAGCTGGAAACATTTATTTTTCTGACTCATGATTATTTTCTAAGCCGGTTTTGCATCTTGAATTTTGTTTCCCTTTCAACTTAAAGCTACAGTGCGTAATTCACTGCCCGCCCCTGCTTATCCCCCTCTAACAATACCGAGGCCTTCATGGTACAAAATGGCTTCCACAACGTCCACATCTAGTTTTGTATTTATTTGGTCGGTATAGACTTTATAGGCCTAACTTGCCTTAGTCACTTTCCAGCCTAACAGCGATCTCTACAGTCACTAGTTTGTCACCTCTGAGCTGCCGTAGAGCAAAGGTGTCTGTAGTTACGATGGGTTATTTCTAAGGTAAACATAAAGATTGAGACTTTCACTTCATAGATGATAATACATAAGATACTTATGTATAATATACACATAAGTATCTTACTTGTATATATATATATATATATATATATATATATATATATATATATATATATATATACACATATACACATTAGGGGTGTGCAAAATAATCGTCATGATGATGCATAGTGATTCTAATTTTCGTGATCTACTGCATCGATTCTTGACGCCAAGTATCGATTATTAATAAAAAAAAATTGATAAATAAAATTGCATGAATGGTTGGCGAACGTCAGCCAAAAATATTGTAATACAACTTCCAGTCCAGTAGATGTCGCTGCGGATGTGTTGACGCACGCTGCCTTGTGTCACAAGCATTTCCGGCCGTGAGATACTGCGCAGAGTCATTCAAAAACAAAACATGGAGGAGAAAATATTGAAATGCACCGCAATAATTCAAGTATCCTGATGCATTGTGATAGAATCGCATCGTGGCATATGAATCGTGATTCAAATCGAATCGTGACGTCTTTGGCAATACCCACCCCTAATATACATACATATGCGGCTTAAAGATCTAATCCCTGATTTGTTTTCGTACCAAATCAGAAAAATGTCATCATCATAATAAAAATATGAAATGAAGTATAATGCTTTCAAAAACTAGCTTTTATTTCAATCATCTGGGCTCGAAATTACATAAAAATATATATAATATATTATATATATATATATATACATATATATATATATATATATATACATATATATATATATATATATATATATATATATATATATATATATATATATATATATATATATATATATATACATATATATATATATATATATATATACACTATATTGCCAAAAGTATTTGCTCACCTGCCTTGACTCACATATGAGCTTAAGTGACATCCCGTTCCTAATCCATAGGGTTCAATATGACGTCGGTCCACCCTTTGCAGCTAGAACAGCTTCAACTCTTCTGGGAAGGCTGTCCACAAGGTTTAGGAGTGTGTTTATGGGAATTTTTGACCATTCTTCCAGAAGCGCATTTGTGAGGTCGCACACTGATGTTGGACGAGAAGGCCTGGCTCTCAGTCTCCGCTCTAATTCATCCCAAAGGTGTTCTATCGGGTTGAGGTCAGGACTCTGTGCAGGCCAGTCAAGTTCATCCACACCAGACTCTGTCATCCATGTCTTTATGGACCTTGCTTTGTGCACTGGTGCACAGTCATGTTGGAAGAGGAAGGGGCCAGCTCCAAACTGTTCCCACAAAGTTGGGAGCATGGAATTGTCCAAAATGTCTTGGTATGCTGAAGCATTCAGAGTTCCTTTCACTGGAACTAAGGGGCCAAGCCCAGCTCCTGAAAAACAACCCCACACCATAATCCCCCCTCCACCAAACTTTACACTTGGCACAATGCAGTCAGACAAGTACCGTTCTCCTGGCAACCGCCAAACCCAGACCCGTCCATCAGATTGCCAGATGGAGAAGCGCGATTCGTCACTCCAGAGAACGCGTCTCCACTGCTCTAGAGTCCAGTGGCGGCGTGCTTTACACCACCGCATCCGACGCTTTGCATTGCACTTGGTGATGTATGGCTTGGATGCAGCTGCTCGACCATGGAAACCCATTCCATGAAGCTCTCTGCGCACTGTTCTTGAGCTAATCTGAAGGCCACATGAAGTTTGGAGGTCTGTAGTGATTGACTCTGCAGAAAGTTGGCGACCTCTTCGCACTATGCGCGTCAGCATCCGCTGACCCCGCTCCGTCAGTTTACGTGGCCTACCACTTCGTGGCTGAGTTGCTGTCGTTCCCAAACACTTCCATTTTCTTATAATACAGCTGACAGTTGACTGTGGAATATTTAGGAGCGAGGAAATTTCACGACTGGATTTGTTGCACAGGTGGCATCCTATCACAGTTCCACGCTGGAATTCACTGAGCTCCTGAGAGCGACCCATTCTTTCACAAATGTTTGTAAAAACAGTCTGCATGCCTAGGTGCTTGAATTTATACACCTGTGGCCATGGAAGTGATTGGAACACCTGATTCCAATAATTTGGATGGGTGAGCAAATACTTTTGGCAATATAGTGTATATATATATATGATTAAAATTAAAGCTAGTTTTTGAAAGCATTATACTTCATATTTTTATTATGAAACTTCACTGAGAAAAGAAATACATTTTTCTGATTTGGTAGGAAAAAAAAATCAGGGATTAGATCTTTAAGCCATGTCTCCCAGTCTTTACCTGCTTGTTGTGTAAAAAGGTCACAGGAAGCTTTTTATTGATTATTGTGCAAAGCCCTCTCCAGGTTTCTATTAGATGCAGCCAATGATTGAAGTCTTTACTGTAACCCGGGTTTTAATCCTGGTTGCCTCAGGAATTGTGTTCGACATAGAAAAAGTTGTAAAACTGCTGCGTTTCTCCCTCAATATGAAAGCAGCTGAAAGGACTCCTCATAATTGGTCACCACACTGTTCCTTTAGTTTACCGTCTTTATTTACAGGCCTGCTGTACCCTCTGTATGACTGTGCCAAACTTTATTAAATGCGTTTTAAACCCATATCTCACTTTGATTCACCACACCTCTCATTTTTATCAGTATTTATGGTAGAAGTCCAACAAAAATATGCATTTAATGTGTTTGTATTGTGAAAGTATTCAGTGGATATGGGTACCACGGCAAAGGATCTAAAGTGGTTTGAAAGTGGTGACTGTGCCTTCTCAAACAGAAAGCTGTTTGAGTCTTTGGCTTTAACTGTGTTTTCATGTCTGACCAGAGAGAGTGTGTTTTGATCTACTGAAATTTTATGACTGTATAAAAATAAAAAAAATCAGTCACAGTTTTGTTTTTCTCTGTGCAAAGTGCTCGCTATTTCTGTAAGCATGAGCTTAAATTAATGTGTATTATTAACTTACGTGCTTCATTTTTATTCATTTAGCTGTTTTCCGCTCGACGTCACACATTTTATAAAGACTATGACAGATACCAGAAACACTGATATTTTTATGGAAATGCATTTTCATGTTCAAATGTTAAATTCTTGTCAAGTTTTAATAAATTTATACTAATGTTCAACTTTGTCTCAGTGTCAGAAATCCTTTCAGTTAATTGTTTTTTTAATTTTAGCATATATCTATGTATATGTATATATCTGTCTCTCTATATATTTTTAAATTTTTTAAACCTACCTATATCTATATATATAGATATATAGATGTAGATAGGCCTGAATATAACACTCCTTGGCATATTTCATTATGTTTGTTTTATCTTTGGCAATATTATCTTCTTTTTCTAGTCTAGCATTATGGTGGACCAGCTCTGCCATATTTAAAAATAAATACAGAAATAAATAAATGCTCAATAAATAGATAAGGATACAATTGATTGCCCCCAAAAATACAATAAATGTAAAAATGACAGGCAGAAATAAATAGCATTGAAGAAATAAAGAGTGTAAAAAACTACAAAGGAAAAATAAAACAGACAAAAATTTCATAAATAAAGCTGAAGATTATAACATGCACATAATTTAACAAAGCAAACATTTTTACAAAGGTGAATAAATAAAGAAGCAAATTAAGAGATGTATACAATTATGTCTCACTGTAGTTCATTTCTACCTACATTTATTTGTTTATTGTGTTTTTGGGGGCAAATAATTGTATGCTTATTTATTTATTTATTTATGTATTTATTTTTAAACATGGAGGAGCTGGTCCTCCATACAGCTAACATACTCCTTGACATATGTGTACTTCATTGTCTTATCTATTTTTGATCTGCTTGTTGTTACTTAATTAAAATAATACGACGGAGTACAAGGGCCAGGCTAGAGATTTTTTTTCTTCTTTTTCAAGAATAAAGTCATAACATTAAGAGAATAAAGTTATAATATAACGAGAATTAAGTTGTAAAATTACAAGATTAAAATCGTAAAACTACAAGAATAAAGTTATAATATTACGAAAATAAAGTTGTAATATTATGAGAATAAAATAACATTACAGGATAAAAGTTTTAATATTATGAGAAGAAAGTTGTAAAATTACAAGATTAAAATCATAAAACTACAAGAATAAAGTTATAATATTACAAGAATAAAGTTGTAAAATTACAAGATTAAAATCGTAAAACTACAAGAATAAAGTTATAATATTACGAAAATAAAGTTGTAATATTATGAGAATAAAATAACATTACAGGAAAAACGTTTTAATATTATGAGAAGAAAGTTGTAAAATTACAAGATTAAAATCGTAAAACTACAAGAATAAAGTTATAATATTACAAGAATAAAGTTGTAAAATTACAAGATTAAAAGAAAGTTGTAAAATTACAAGATTAAAATCATAAAACTACAAGAATAAAGTTATAATATTACAAGAATAAAGTTGTAAAATTACAAGATTAAAATCGTAAAACTACAAGAATAAAGTTATAATATTACGAAAATAAAGTTGTAATATTATGAGAATAAAGTAACATTACAGGAAAAAAGTTTGAATATTATGAGAAGAAAGTTGTAAAATTACAAGATTAAAATCATAAAACTACAAGAATAAAGTTATAATATTACAAGAATAAAGTTGTAAAATTACAAGATTAAAATCGTAAAACTACAAGAATAAAGTTATAATATTACGAAAATAAAGTTGTAATATTATGAGAATAAAGTAACATTACAGGAAAAAAGTTTGAATATTATGAGAAGAAAGTTGTAAAATTACAAGATTAAAATCGTAAAACTACAAGAATAAAGTTATAATATTACAAGAATAAAGTTGTAAAATTACAAGATTAAAATCGTAAAACTACAAGAATAAAGTTATAATATTACGAAAATAAAGTTGTAATATTATGAGAATAAAGTAACATTACAGGAAAAAAGTTTGAATATTATGAGAAGAAAGTTGTAAAATTACAAGATTAAAATCGTAAAACTACAAGAATAAAGTTATAATATTACAAGAATAAAGTTGTAAAATTACAAGATTAAAATCGTAAAACTACAAGAATAAAGTTATAATATTACGAAAATAAAGTTGTAATATTATGAGAATAAAATAACATTACAGGAAAAACGTTTTAATATTATGAGAAGAAAGTTGTAAAATTACAAGATTAAAATCGTAAAACTACAAGAATAAAGTTATAATATTACAAGAATAAAGTTGTAAAATTACAAGATTAAAATCGTAAAACTACAAGAATAAAGTTATAATATTACGAAAATAAAGTTGTAATATTATGAGAATAAAGTAACATTACAGGAAAAAAGTTTGAATATTATGAGAAGAAAGTTGTAAAATTACAAGATTAAAATCGTAAAACTACAAGAATAAAGTTATAATATTACAAGAATAAAGTTGTAAAATTATGAGAATAAAGTTCTTATATTACGAAAATGAAGTCATCATAAAACAACCCATTTCAGAAAGAAAGCTTCGAGCTCAGACCAGCATGACGGCCGACCGGCTCCACCAGCAGCCTGAGTCCACTTTGATCCACTGCCCAATTTGATGCTGATGCTGAAAGGTTTCCTTATTTGTCAAACAAGAGCCAAAGTATAACATCACATGATGCTCGACATTCCTCATTTTAGGGAAGAAAGTGCTGCTTGTAAGAGTTGTCATAAAATACAACTTGTTTCTTAAGATTTTAGGACTTTATTCTTGTAATATTACAACTTTATTCTTGTAATTTTATGACTATTCTTATTTTGACTTTTTTCTCATAATATTACCACTTTATTCTATTAATGTTATGACTTTATCCTCATGATTTTATGACTTTATTCTCTTAATTTTATGACTTTATTCTCGTAACTCTGACATTATTCTCGCAATGTTACGACTTTATTCTCATAATTCTACAAATTTATTCCCATAATTTTATGACATTATTCTCGTAATTCTACCACTTTATTCTCGTTATTTTACGACTTTATTATGGTAATTTTACGACTTTATTCTCGTAATTCTATAACATTATTCTCGTAATGTTACGACTTTATTCTCGTTTTATTACGACTTTATTCTCATATTTTCAACTTTATTCTCGTAGTTTTACAAATTTATTCCCATAATTATATGGCTTTATTCTCAGAATTTTAAGAATTTATTCTTGTAATTCTATAACATTATTCTCGTAATGGTACGACTTTATTCCCATGATTTTACGACTTTATTCTCTTAATTTCATGACTTTGTTCTCATAATTTTATTATTTTATTCTCGTAATTCTATAACATTATTCTCGTAATGTTACGACTTTATTCTCATAATTTTCAACTTTATTCTCGTAATTTTACAAATGTATTCCCATAACTATATAGCTTTATTCTCATAATTTTAAGACGTTATTCTTGTAATTCTATAACACAATTGTAATGTTACGACTTTATTCTCGTAATGTTACGACTTTATTCTCATATATTTCAACTTTTTTCTCGTAATCTTACAAATATATTCCCATAATTTAAGACTTTATTCTCATAATTTCACGACTTTATTATCGTAATTCGACGACTTTATTCTCATAATGTTTACGACTTTATTCTCATAATTGTACGACTTTATTCTCATAATTTTATGACTTTATTCTCGTAAATTTACATTATTCTCATAATTTTACGAATTTATTGTTGTAATGTTATGACTTTATTTTCCTAATTTTACATCTTTATTCTCATAATTGTACAGCTTTATTCTGGTAATGTTACGAGTTTATTCTCGAAATAGAAGAAAAAAAATACGCAAAAATCTAATCAATCAAAATACGCAAAGACGCAAAATAAAATTATAGCAAAAAAAAAAAACATCAGTTAACCGGTTAATTTTATTTAGCCATACGGTCTGCCATACTGGGAAGCCACCGCCTACTGCGCAGCAGCAGCCCAGGTGACGAAGATGGTGCTCATCAAGGAATAGTGAGTCTGAAATGTTTTCGAAAATATACATTTTACCATTTCTAACTGTATATTTCTGTTTTTTGCCAAGGTCCATTATGGCGAACTAAAGATATGTGGTCCGTTTAGTGACGTCATTGTCGGTATCTGAAGGGTTTGTGTGCAGTGAGTTCAGGCAGGGTGGATCAGGATAACGGGACACCGGTCTGTTTTAGGCGTTGCTAGTACAAGCTAGCATTAGCCTCCGAGTGGTATCAGCAGAAGGGATAATTAGCCTCTTAATGCAACCGACCTGTGCTAAAAGGCTGCTATGGTTCACCATAACCACACTGCACTTTTAGTTAAAAACCACCAAAATAATCACACAAAATGAAATACAAAGGGTGTGTCTTGGAGCTTGTAGTGTGTTAGCAGCGAGGCTCGTGTTTAAATTGCCTCAATGTTAAGCTGTGGTCTCGTGAGTGACAGATTAAAGCTTCTTCTCTGACGGATTTAACAGAAATGCTATGTAGCACATTTAGCTTTAGCAGCCGGGCTAGCTGCTAGCATCACATTTCCCTACAGCTCTTACAGCTTAATAGAAGCCGAATGTCACCTAATGTCAACACTTATATTGAGGACAAAGGTTATGGAGACGTTTTGCTAGCTCGACATTTATTTCTACCCTTTGAGTTAGCTTTTAGCTTCCCTTGCTGTTGCTTTAGCAGGGAGTTAGCCTAAGGTTATGGGCGGCTAAATTAACAGTGTTAGTCAATTTGATAAGCTATAAAGCTCAGACTGTTTATATTACTGACTTCTAATAGCCTTCACCCTGCTATTTTAGTTTTTTCCTTATCATAGCTTAATTATTTGAAGCCTAAGCTTTGCTCTGTGGCTAACTCCATACCCGCAAATAACGGTGCCTGCTGTTTGAAGTGGGCACAAACTGGATTATTTAAGCCCGATAGAAATTCTAAAACAGAAACTCTAAATGTAAATCTTTAGTAAAATATCCATTCCCCGACATGACGGCTAATGTAGATGCTAAAGACTGGAACGTAATGTGATGATGAACAAGACAGTGCAGGTTTGTTGGAGTGGAAGCTGCCCTATGCCAAGGAAAAGGAGGCGTGTATTTGTAGGCGATTGTCTTTTTTTTCTCCTTCTGGATTTAATAGGTATTTTCATTTACAGGTAACTTGGCACTGCTAAAAAAAAATGAAGGGAGCACTGAAATAACACATCCTAGATCTGAATGAATGAAATATTCTCATTGAATATTTAGTTCTGTAAAAAGGCGAATGGGCTGACATGACGACACAAAATCATCAATGGAAATCTAATTTATTTACCTATGGCCACTGGTGGTTCAGTGGTCTAGCACTGGATTAAGGGGCTGGTTATCCTCCCGCAGCAGTATGACGCAGACATTTTTGATTTAGACTCAATATTGAAGGGTGGTCTGTGTTATGTTTATTCCACGCCACAACGAAGAAGGGGAAAATCAGGAACTAGCTGTGGGTCTAGATACGGCCGAGGCGATGAGGAAATGTGTCAAGTTTATCTGACGACGAGGCACATGAGGGCAAAAAAGAGCGGGTATTACCGCAGCAGGCTAACCTCGCTCTTCTAGCTGGTCCAACTTCACAAGTTGTTTTCCGCGATCGCGGTCATACAAACAAAACAAGCCGGTAAGGTACCAAACAGGAGATACGCATGAGTAGAGCGGATGTAGATTTAAACAATCAGAGCCCTCCTGTCTGTCTGCTGTGACCTACAATGTGGGAGAGGTGCAGCAGAGTTTCTGCGGAGGGGGGTGGTGACGTCTCTGCGTTCACCGCGACACCTACGCAGACAACCTGATTTCGAAGTATAAATCTATGGCAAGCCAAGAAGGTCATATTTCGCATTGAATTCTCGCGTTAAGATTGAAGTTAACCCGCAAAAAACGCGCGTTCCCCCGAGATTACGCCGCTTTTTACGCCGTCTTTTACCAACAAGCGCCGCCTTTTACGCGCGTCATGATAGTACCGCAAGACGCGCGTTAAATACGCGCGTTGTGTCGGTCAGAACGCGCGTTAAATACGCGCGTTGTGTCGGTCAGAACGCGCGTATTTAACGCGCGTTTTCCTAATATGATAATGATGTCCTTCCTTCTTTTCCCACAGCCAATGCATTTGAACTGGTTGCATCCAATGGCTGATCAAGGCAGCCAGACCAAGAAAGTTCAGCATAGATCTGCTTTGTGGAAAACTGCACAGAGCTCAAAGTTGCAGCATTGCCAAAATTCACTGCATTGCCGTTTCACAAAGACTTAATGTTAGGAATATATCCACTACATACACTTTGCTGTTATTTTGAATCCATTCCATACCTATTTTCATGTAAAAACGTTTTGCATCGCCAACTGATGTTTTGTATTTACCGGGATTACTAGGAATGTTTCACCACTTATCATCACCGAGAGGCGGCGTAGTGGGTTAAGTAACCGCCTTCAATGCGATTTTTTGCTTCGTGGCAGGTTCGAATCCGGCAGAGGCAGTCCGACTTTTCCCTTTATGTTCTTTCTTGTCTCCAACCAAGCCCATTAATTTATTTATTTTTTTCTGAGAATATAATCATAAATGTAGCCTACTTCACTGTTTTTGATCCATCGCCATGCATTCTGTCATGTAAAAACATTTTATATTGTACTAATAAAATGACAATAAAGGGGACACTTGTCTTCCAGAAAATTTGCCGGTCTGACTTGTTTTCTGTATATTTTCCTGCATATCACCAACCTTTTCCCATAATGCTTTCTACAGCCATGGAGCAACTGCTGTTAAAATTAAATTAACAGGAACATTTCTTATTAAAAGTGTTATTAGTGCAATGAGAAAAAACTTGCTTAGTTGAGCCAGTGGAGGTTTGATGATCCCCATAGCTCATGTTCTCTGTCTCCTACATATACACACATATATATATATATATATATATATATATATATATATATATATATATATATATATATATATATATATAAAAACCACGTCACATAAATGTTCTTTCAGTCTACAATACTTTCAGTCTGCAGATGGCGCCATATAACGGGTAGGCTACTGGCAGAGCAGCAAACAGGTGTTTGCACCAAAGCTGGGGAACAATATAGGCAAGGTGTGTCTCTTTTTCAAGAGAGAACTGGATACTGGATTCTTTCATCTTTTTTATTTATTATGAACTATTATTTATCTATTTCCCACTACCTTTTACCACTAGTCAATACCTTTACTTATGTGTACTGGAACAAGATCCAAATGTGCAAGAGTCTAATTACATTTTCATTGTGGAATAGGAGACAAGGTATGGGTGCAGCACCTTCCATTGGGGGTGTATCCAGAAAACAGGTACTACGTTATTTAGATGTTACATTTAATTTTAACAGCAGTTGTTCCGTGGCTGCAGAAAGCATTATGAGCTTGGGAAAAGGTTAGCGATATGCAGGAAACATACAGAAAACAAGTCAGACAGACACATTTTCTGGAGGACAAGTGGCCCCTTTATTGTCATTTTATTAGCACTATGTAAAAAGTTGTTACATGACAGAATGAATGGCGATGGATCAAAAACAACAGAGAAGTGGGCTACATTTATGGATTATATTCTTGGTTAGAGGCAAGAGAGAATATCAAAGGCATAGGTTTGATTTCAGCTTTGGTAGGGACACTATTGGTCTTCAGTTTCATCGTTCTAATGTCATTGGTCCTTTGCAAAAAGATGCATACTCTTTTTTTATGCTTAATGTGAGCATCAGGCTTTGATGTGTTTAAAGAGAACAGCATAATTTCTTCCTAGATTAATACAAATCTTATAAGCACTACACTCACTAGATGCTATTTAGCAATGTTTGAAGCATCACTGGCTCTGATCAATGTGCAATTAGGACTTTTTTCCACTTTGAAAATGTTTGCATTTAAACTTACCAGCCACTAAGACAGAAGGTAAATACATTCCTATTTAACCAAATATAATCTAAATATGCCTGTTATATGTTGACGTATCATGGGTTTTCTTTTGAAGATATATAATTGTGCAGAGGTAAACAGGTGAAACCCACTCTTATTTTTTTATGTAATATGCTCTCTCTGTGTCATGCAAAATAATACATTCAACGGACGGCAAATAAATGTATTGTATTTACATGTGCACTGGAACTATAAGAGGAACTCACACTGAGCATTTTGAAATATTAACTTCACTATACAAGTTGTACATCTGGGCTGTAGTTACTCTATGTAGCCCATTTCATAATTTTTTTTCTATGGCTAAAACAATTAATCATATCTATCAATAATTTAAATAATTGTCAACTGATTTAGTAATTGATTAATAATTAACTGGAGTATAGAGCCACTAAAATGTGCCTTTAGCCAATAGAGCGACCCACTTAGAGCAGGAATTATACCAAGATTATGAAAAAATATGTAAACATTTTGCATTTAAGACAAAAAAAACTTTTAGTCTGTCAATATTCTCCATCCAGAACTCCTCAAGAGGAAACGTTTCTGTTTCACCTGGGGTCATTTCGTAAAAAAATCTACTTTTAGGAACCTTTGGGTGATCTGAATATTAATCAATTCATCAAAAACATAATCAACAGATTAATCAATTTGCAGAATAATCATTAGTTGCAGCCCTAATTTTATGATAGCATTCCAAACACATTTCTTCCATCATGCAGCAGTGAAGGGCAGCTGCTTCACCCTGAGGCTGCCCTGCATCATTATATCTGTTTCCTACAATCATATAATGTTTCTATTCTACAAGTGCGTCTATAATAGTAAAGGATTAAATGTAACAACCTTTTATCATCATCCTATATTGCTTGCTGTTTAAAAGCTCCTTATGTCTATTTTCTTTTTTAGTGGCATCATCTACAAACACAACACTAAGAATCAGCCAAAGTTTATTAAAATATAAAATCACTTTAAACAATTATTATCTGTAATGTAATAGTATCCAAAATAAACAGCCAGATTCAAGCATTATTTACCAGACATTAA